TATATGTATAGGTAACCATTGCTAATATTCTCAGTTGGCCTTGAGTGGTGGTTTCATTCTTGTCTCATTTCTTGTGAACACACTGAGATCAATGATGACACAAACCTTTGTCTATATGTGTCATTATGTGGTGGAATCAGGCGCGCGTCAATTTTGGCGCATTTAGTAGTTATTAATATCACCTTAAAGCTTATTTATTTTTCTTGCATTTGGCAAAAAAAAATACTCAACTTTCTAGAATGGAAGCCGAGATATTTGTCAAAGTTTGGTTACTTCCATAGGTTCAGAGTCCTTGGGAAATGAAAATTTACTTTTTTTTGTCTTTTAGTCAACGTTTTTCACTATAATCCACAACAAAATGTGTTGTTAAATAGACGTAAAAGGTGGTGAGCCACAAAACAGAAATGCTGTTTTCTTTGATTTCATTATTTTGACGAGAGCCTGGTTCCACCACGATGCCTCAAATATGGAGAATTTAACAGGGTTCGTACGGGTCTTGGAAAACTCTTGGAATGCTGTTTTTATTTTCATGGAAAACTTTGGGAAGTTGGCAAAAGTCTTGGAAAAACAAATTTTTAACTAGATCTATTGTAAAAATACTTCCTCAAAGATTAGAAGACGTCAACTTTAAGCATTCTGAAGTGTACCGTAATGTATTTTAACACACTGAGACTGAAAGAAAATTTTTTTGGGAATTAACACGTTATTTGTCTTGGAAAAAAGAAATCTGGTCTTGAAAACTCTTGGAAAAGTCTTGGGGGGAAAAATGTCCTGCTCAGTATGAACCCTGATTTAAAGAGATGAGACAATCTCAGTGGGGCATGCCTTTAAGAAGTATGGAACAGTGATTATGTTGTTGTTTTTGTAGGAAGAACAGTGATTATTATGTTGTTGTAGGAAGCAAACTAACAAGTTTGTCGTTGGATTCTGGGTACAACAGTAGTGAACTAAAAACTGTCAATTTGGTCATTGGAAGTAGGGATAATATTATTTTGGACTGAGGCTGCTGGTTTTGAATGACAGGTTGAAAATAAAGAGAAGGAACAGTTTTTTTTCTTTGGGCAGCTGTAATATAATCTTAGCGTGCACATCTGTACTAATTGTTTGTGAAGTTTGCTTGTTGGCTCAGTGATAGATGAAAGTTATGCGCATCGACGTTACGTGCATTGTGCCCCACCCCCCACCCTACTCCTCACTATTTTTCGACAACTAATCCTCACAGCCCTTCTGTGTCTGACCCTCTGGTCAATAAATCAAATTTTCTCTCTTTTGTTAATCAAATTTTCTCACTTCAGTTGGTAGTTGCTGGTTGGGGGGGGGTTACTTTTTTGTTGTCTGCTCTTTCTACTTCTTCTCTGTGTTTTCTGTAATTGTAGTCTGTCCCTGGGCAAATGTACCGACATCTGTGGTGTAGTGGTTGTGCCGTTCAGCAGACAGGCAGAAGACTTGAACTCGGTTCCCGTACGTGTCTCTCTGTGTTCTATCAAATGTGGCAGTTGTTGCATTGGTTTTTTCTCAGATTAGACTTGGCCAACTTTTCTTCTCGATAAAAGGACCCTGGGTTTGGGGTTTTTTTTAGCGAAGTTTAGGTATTAATGAGTACCTTGTGAATACTGAGGAATGTGAGAAATTTTGTTTAGTTTACGGTCAGTTTTTTTTTTACGGTCAGTTTCATCACAGGCCCGCAGAAGTTTGATTTGTTTGTTATTGAAGATACCCCATGTTCTAATTCGCTATCTGTGTGCTTTTCTCCTTATGAAGATGCTTTTTTATAAACATTATGTTTTACTTGAGCTGATTTATTCTCATGGATGTGTGGTCTTTCCCTTGCTCTTAGATGGAAATAATGATACTTTGCTCATTCTAAACCACTTTTGACCATCTTGTTGGCTTTTTAAAAACTTTTTTTTTCATATTTTGGAAAACAAAACGGCTTGCTTCACCTTGCCCTGCCTTGTCCAGTGATGCCCTACGGCTGACTTTCTTCCTCCTCCTCTCCCTCCTCTCCCTCCTCAGAATTTGCTCGTGTTGTTGTCTCAGCTTTTCTTTGGTTCTGTTTGAACTGAACAGTTTTGTTTTTTTTGTTCTTTTTGTTTTTTTGTTTTTTCAATTGACTTGCTTAACATAGATAGCATAATTTGCTCACACTTACAATATAATTTGCTCATAATCAGAAACACTTAGGCTCCTTATTATTCTTGTGTTCCTGCAACAAAAATATGAACACATGTCCATTATCTCAGGCAGGCAAACACATGCATTTACATTTGTGGATAATTACTGATGTTCAGATATCTACTTGCGAGACTTTTTTGGTTTTGGATGTTATTTTTTTCACCAACATACTGTTGAAGTTTGAATCTGAGAGGGTTCCAAAAAGGAGTGTCACTATTGTGTAAATTGTTTGGGTTAGGTACCCTACACGTCCAGGCTCCGAACGGCCGGTTCGGAAAGGAAAGGCAAACCTTGCGGCAGAACCTTAGATGTGGATGAAAAAACTGCTAGTAAAAAGTTAGAACGGGAGGCCGAGCCGGCGGCTTCAACATGTGGTTTTTGTGACTACAGTTCAGCACGTTCTTTCAACGACTGCCTTTTTGTGACGTCGCAAGCTTAGCCGGCTTATCTATTATCTTGTCACTGCCAATATCTTCTAAATGATTTTCCGCACATAAAATATCATATTTTTTAAACGAGCGACCCATTTTTAAGTCGAGGTCGGATGAGAATTTGTAGTTAAGGTAGTGAGAAACAAAGACCTGTGTTTGAATTAAGGTTTTGGTTTTTATTTCTTTCCTTTCTAGATTTTGTAAGTTTTTGTTGTTTAAGTAGTTGGGATCTGAGTTTGTAACATTAGTCATTGTTTGTTGAAACGGGTGTGGAGGAAGAAAGTCAGCTGTGATCACTCCGGGCTAGGCACCAGTTGGTGATATAATGCACTCGTCTTCTTGCTAAGGGGTGGAGTTTTTTCCCATCATAAAGTATCTGTGGGTGGTTGGCGGGTGCTCTGGTGTGGTTTGCTCCTTCTTTCCTATCAAACATCTATCGTTCTGATCTCTCATCCTTCTTTTTTGTGTTTGTTACTCTCTTGTAACACCTCTAATCTTCGGCACTTATATGACCTTATTGTGTTCTCTTAAACTCTTACCAAAACTAAACTATAGATTATCTCTCAGAGGTCTCTGGGGTTTTCGGGGGGGCGGGGGGAGGGATTGTAGGTTGTCACTCCGACTGTCATCTTTCATCGTGGTATTTATAGGTGAGATGAGAGGAACCACGGTGTTTTGCCTTCCTTTTTGAATCATTCTGTTGCTCGCTCGGTTCAAGTCTGCTTCCAGAGTCCAGAGATCTGTTTTCTGCTTGATAAATAACTCTCTGTTTTGATATGAAGTGTTCTGTGGTTTTTTAATACAGAATGACTATTTACTAAAAGTGACTATTTTAGAGTATTTGTGTGACGACGCGATGGAATCAGGCGTTTCCGGGCAAATGGAATTAATGATGTCATCTTGTAGCCTGTTTATTTGCCTTGCCTTTGATGAAAGAAATGTCCATATATCTTGAACAGAAGTCGAGATATTTGTGATTGAAGGAGGCCTGAAAGAGGTAGAATCAGTGAGAAATGGCCACCAAAGTTACAAGATTTTCATAGTTTGAGAGTCCTTGGAAACTTGAAAATTTACTTCTTTTTTTTTGTGCCTTTACTCACCGTTTTTCTGTTAAAATCCACACAGAAATGTGTTTTTAAATGGGCATAAAAATGGTTGAGCCAAAAAAACATATTGGAAAACAATTGCCCAAGTGCCAAAAAAATAGAAATTTCTTTGATTTCATGATTTTGACGAGCGCCTGATTTCACTACAATGCCTCACATTTACTCTTTGGGACTGTCCTGGACTGTATATATTAAAATTGACTGTTTTAGAGTGTTTACTGTAAGGGACTGTCCTTGGTAAAACAACGTGTGAAGGTTTGGAGCCCACTGTGGGGACTGTAGAGGCACAGGTTCACTTGGCACATTTTTTGTTTTTGTTTTTGTTTTTGTTTTTTTTTCGATTTGATCTCTGTAGTTTTGTCACATTTTTACCAGCACGAATTTGTCTTTCTTTACATTCCACCTTTTACCCGTATTATTTTTTCCCCCACAAAATTGTTATTCTTATGAACAAAGAATTTTGCACCCAGCTCTGTCGTTATATCTGTGGGAAATTCTGTTGGTGTATAAAACGGGCTCTGAAGGATGATAACTTGCCTTGACGTTCATTTATTGGACTTTGGTCGTATTTACACAAGCTTCTGTTTAACAATTGTAATAATGGCAAATTGAGCAATATATGGTGCGGAAATACTCATTTTTTACCGACCTGATTAGATTTAGGATCCATGAAAGCAGCAGCCATAGAGCTGTCTGAGTAGTAAAAGAGATGAAATGACCACTTTGCAGAACGATGCCAGATAAGATTTTTGCCAAAGTAAAGTTTTCTTTTTCAAGTAAAAAAAACAACAGGCGTACTCATATAGGAGTCTTGCAGTTGTGAGTCCCGTAAAACCTCTACTAAAACTCATATAGGAGTCTTGCAGTTGTGAGCCCCGTAAAACCTCTACTAAAACTCATATAGGAGTCTTGCAGTTGTGAGCGCCGTAAAACCTCTACTAAGACTCATATAGGAGTCTTGCAGTTGTGAGCGCCGTAAAACCTCTACTAAAACTCATATAGGAGTCTTGCAGTTGTGAGCCCCGTAAAACCTCTACTAAAACTCATATAGGAGTCTTGCAGTTGTGAGCCCCGTAAAACCTCTACTAAAACTCATATAGGAGTCTGTTTCAAAGGTAAGGGGAACATTTTTTAAAATTGCTTGCTCAAAGTTTTCACAAAATTTCCTTTGAGCATCTGGGAATGAGAATTAAAAACCTGAAGCACATATTTCTCCTTTCCGTTCAGCAATAATTGCTAATCCATTTTTTCTCTTGCTTCTATTTTCTTTTCATGATGGAACAAACAGAGAGACGAGTTGGTCACCCACAAAGAAAAAGCCAAGAGACAAGAGGACCATGTGCAAGGTAAGCTCCGTTCGTACCTACTGCAGGGAGGTTACTGAACACACAGTGCTACAAATGAAACAGAGAGAGAGAGAGAGAGAGAGAGAGATTTACAGAGCTGTGTGTTTCAACCTGTGAGACATACTAATGTCCTGTCTTGTTGTGTGTATGTGTGAGTGCACCTAACTTTTGTAAAGTCTACTGCCATTGTACACGACCAAGACAAATGTCTCCCTGCGAGATGACGAAAGATTGTTATTGTCATTGTCATTGCTGCTGCTTCTCTCATAGAGGAGGCCAGGCCTGTCTTCTTGTCTAGTGTGTTCAGGTTTTTGCAGCATGGAGTTTGAACTGTGGGTGGTTGGCGGGTGCTCTAGTGTGTTAGGGATTTTGCAGCATGGAGTTTGAACTGTGAGTGGTTGGCGGGTGCTCTAGTGTGTTAGGGATTTTGCAGCATGGAGTTTGTTTGAACTTTCTTTTCCCTCCTCCTGCCTTGTTGGGCCAAGCTGTTCTTGTTTTGAAAAGAGAGAGTGGGTGGTTGGCAGGTGCTCTGGTGTGGTTTGTTTCTTCTTTCCTATACTATCAAACATCTATCGTCTTTATCTCCCCTTTTTCTTTTTTATGTCTGTTACTCTCTTGTAACACCTCTTATTTTCTGGCGCTCATATGACCTTATGCAGTTGCGAGCGCCGTAAAACCTCTACTAAAACAAAGACTGACAAGCCCTGAATTAGGGTGGATGATAGATATCAGGGAGTGTCAGCCTCAGCATGGATGTGTTGGTTTCTTAGACTTTTGGATATCTTTAACAGACTGAACGTTTTCTCTGAGGAAAAGTGAAGAGTAGTGTTGTCCCATAAGGATTGAGTCTTAAAGATTATTTACTAAAGTGATAGCGGAAATGTAATTTATCCCCCCTTCCCTCCCCCAGTTGTGGATATATCTGACATTTTTGGCGGATTTCCTTATCAGCAAACTGCTTTCCCACTTATCCCCCTCTAGCTCCTCTGTTATTCATTCATGCCTTCATTCATTCTATAGAATAAGTTAGAGAATCTGCGTCATTCTCTGTTGTTTTTTAGGAAAATATGTGTCTTGATCTATCAGCAAAGATTCTTTCCTTTGCATTTGTAGTTGTCTGGTTGTTTTTTAGTTATTACTCTAAAGCGTTATATAGAATAATCATAATTGACTTTTATATTTGTTTATTTTTTTAAAAAGCATTGTCTAGAAACTACAGACGTGAGTCATTGTGTGCTGTGTGTTTGTGTAGCGTAGAGACTATCCCAACGTTTGGTAGATTAACTGTCAGTGCCGAGCGATATCACAAGGGACACGTGGATGGTTGGCGGGTGCTCTAGTGGGGTTTGTTCCTTCTTTCCTATCAAACATTTATCGTCTTTATCTCCCCTCCTTTTTTTTTTTGTGTTTGTTGCTCTCTTGTAACACCTCTGATCTTTGGCACTTATATGACCTTATTGTGTTGCAAATGCCGTAAAACTCTTACTAAAACTAAACAAGGGACACAAGAAGGACAGTTGGAATTCCCTGCTGGTGTGTTTGTTGTTTTCCCAGTAGCGTCTTTGTAACATCCTCAGTACTGCTCCTACTGTAACTATTGTCTTTTTACCGTGCAGTAATAGTGTAATCGACCTCTGACTGAAAATATAAGATTTTGTGTTGTTTTAGATTTATTAATGTGTTGGTGGTTGTTGTTTTGTTTTTTTAACACAAAGAATTTGAAGCCTTTTATAAATTGTCGAGTAAACCGGCTGTCTGTAGAGTAATGTGCTCTGGTGTGGTTTGCTCCTTCTTTCCTACCAAACATCCATCGTCCTGATCTCTCGTCGTCCTTTTGTATGTTTGTTACTCTCTTGTAACACCTCTAATCTTCGGCACTTATATGACCTAATTGTGTTGCAAGTGCCGTAAAACTCTTACTAAAACTAAATGCAACGGTGAGGCGCTTCCTAGTTGCGCTAGCAGATGTTAGCTAGATTCCTACTGGAGGAGGTTGTTTATCGAGTATCTTCTGCTTATCCGCTGACACGTCGTTTCTTGGTGGGTGGTTGGCGGGTGCTCTGGTATGGTTTACTTCTTCTTTCCTATCGAACATCTATTGTCCTTATCTCTCTTCCTTCTTTTTTGTGTAAGTTACTCTCTTGTAACACCTATTCTTTGGCGTTTATATGACTTTTTTGTGTTGCTA